TTAGTCGTGTAAGCACGTTTAAGGTAGTATTAGAGGAGAAGTAACAAACAAATGATTAAAGTGATTATATTCCATGGACAAATTATGACAAATCATTACACACTCGAAAATTTACAGGTATATTAATTCGCATGGGAAAAAGCTAGAATGAGATCGCTATGCTAATGACAAGTGATGGATACTACATCCAGGTGTTTCCGCGTATTTAATTGGATCGTTGTATGTAAAAGATAGTTTACAAATTATTTTGAAGAAGATGAAATTTAATCCAAGTCTCTGCTTCTTTTAACATTCGAATTCCAACTTGTAGCATCCGGATTAGTAGTTTGAGGTGCCTCTGAAGAAATTCCAACCTTGAATTATCTTTGATGCGAGTACTACTAAGGATCAAACTGAAGGTTACAGTATGATAAAACCAACTACACTTCTGACACACAAATGACTGTCAATATCACCCTGTCATTCAGATGTCAGTCAAATGACCTTGTGCTGAAACAAACATTTCAGTCATTTCCAAGTAAAACGCATTATACAAGAAAAGTCATTATTGCATAAATAAATTGCATTCTTTCCCAAAAGTCAAAACCTTGTGTAACATTTGATTGAGTTTACTAATTTACATGTGTATGGGTACATTGATCTGTAGAAGTAACAGTGCCTTGCACGTGACATTGCCTGAATATATTGAAACAAACAAAATCAAATAGCCTCTACTGCCATACATGTAACTGAAATAGTTCATAAGACTGATATAAATAGACTTCTTGGTTTTTGAAGAACACTGTGTGGATACACACATTATTAGGAATAATGACTTGCAAATTAGGTTATGTAAATATGTTTAAAACAATTAGTCCCTTTGATAAATTTCGATAATGCAATGAGAATACGAAGTTTATCAGAATTATGTGATATATTAGCGCAATACAATTCGAACAATCTGATCACACATATACTTGTTAAGAACATTTATATATGAAAATTAAAAGGTCAACTAGACAAGTTAAGAGTAAGTACACAAAAACAAATGTGATTACCATTCTGGATAATAAATCAGTATTACCAGGGTAGGTTAAGTGTAAGTTAATCACATTTGTTTTTGTGTCTAGTTAACCTTTTAATTTTCATATATAAATGTTCTTAACAAGTTCGATATGTATTGCGCTAATATATCACATAATTCTGATAAACTTCGTCTTCTCATTGCAATATCTATATATGTACTAAAGGGGATGCAGAAATGAACAAAATGAAATATTATCAGAAGGGATTGTGTGGAGATTTTAGAAATTTAACTGGTTGAAATCATGAATCTATTGAAGCTAGACCACCATGGAAAACCTGGAAGCACTGGACGGCCGTTTCGATTCGAACCCAGGACCTAGCAGTCTCGCGCCAGGCGCTTAACCAACTAAATGTTCGAATCTAGCGAGGAGCGGGATCGTGGATGCGCACTGCTGAGGAGTCCCATACTAAAATGAAATATCCTAATACACATAATTAAAGGAGTGAATAAAATTAACCTCGTTGTCAACATTATGGCTGAAATTTAATCAGCCTTACTGTTTACACAAACGAGTAACGATCCGGATTCAGTAACTAAGTGGATAATGCGATGGTATTTAAAGTGAAAGTTACTGGGTTCATCAACGCAGATGCAGGTAAATCGATCCGGCAAGTCCTAAACAGTACAAAATATGTGCCTCGGATTCCATTACTGGACAAAGTTCGTTTATTCTTAATAATTTCGTAAGTTTGATGTGAACACACTCTTTGTAGTAATCAATAAATCTTGTTTAGGGAAACTAGTTATACTCGTTGAAACTTTAGCTCTACGGATGTTCAAATCTCTTTCGCATATTCAAAACTATTTGTGCTTACATTAAATCTACATTTGTAATATAGATTTAATATCCAGAGTGATTTGATTTACACTGTTATTATCAATATCTTTGTTTTCCTCTTATTTTATTAGTGTTTTTTTAAGTAAAGGTGTTATTAATTTGTTCGAAATGTTCTGCGCTCATATATTATATGGTTTTAATAATCTTTGTCTTCTAATTGCATTATATAATTTCATACTAATTAATTTTTCCACTGTATTCGGATTACTAATGTTAGTTTTCTATAAAAGTATTCAGTCAAATAAATAATATTCGCTTAAATAAAATTGTGATTTCAGATTAAGTTACTTTCTTCACCACATTCGCACTTCATTGAACTCAGTTAAGAAAAACAAACTAACTAATATATCTTATAGCTAATAACCACAACAGGAAAATCGTTCGAATATATCAGAAAACCAGATTTAAAACAGCATCATTCAGAAGTAATAAATCAACCTTGTAATATCATGATCTCAACTAAAATCATTCAATCATTGTCTATGTAACAAATATGACAGACAGACATATTCGAAATAATAAAGTATCTCTCGATTAGCAAAAAGAAGCACAGTAGCTTTCAATCATATCTGCATCACAAATCATATATTTATACAGTACATTATCACTACTTATTAGTGAGTAGTAAATATATTTACCAAATTCGTATATTCATAAATAAATTTTACGCATAATTAATAATTACATTAAAAGTGTTTCATTCATTTTATAGCAGAACAGTTAAAAATGTTGACAATTTGATAAGTGTAAAAGTGGCCTTCACGTAGAATTATCATATGTAGTTAGTGATATAATTCCGTGTAACATTCCCTTAGTTTCAGTGCGTTGTACTGACACAGTATTCATTACAAAGGTCACGGTAACGCATTTAGTACGATTATACAGGCTTGAAAATTAAGTAGTTTGAATTGTCAACAACATAAGACTGAGAGACCTGTGTTAATCCTAACCATAGAAGCAGATCTACCAATTCAAACGTCCTTACGGTTTCCCAACTTCCAATTCGCAATGCGAAACAACATAAAATGATTTACATGTGTATAACCGAATCAGTCGTTTGAAAATCAGTTCTGAAGTGTCTTATTTGACAGTATAGCTACTTATTCTTCAATTTATCTCTCCCTTCCACTTTTGAATATATCAACTCTTTTTCAGGAATTGTTCAGCAATATTTTCATATTCATCAAACTTCCTTCACTGGAACTTTATAATTCGACTCCATTCAAGTATCCAACATAAGCTTGTCATTCTGTTATTGCATGAGATTGCAGTGCTGACAATGGGTCATGCATTAACGCACTCAAGATTGTAGAGTGATGCAATCATTGGCTATTACTCTTTGTTGCGTTGCACAACCCTATTGTACAACTTGATTCTAATCGATGGGAGTTTGATCTTATTGAGTGGGTAGTATTGTTGTTGATTCTTAGGTATTTGACATTTGTAATTAGTAAGTATAATTCACTGAGTGGTGCGGTGTTGTATGACAGCAGCTTTTGACCGAGAGTCATAGAAATGATTTAGAAGTCTGAATAACCTGAAATCACAGTCAATAAATTTTCACATCGACAATAAATCGATCTGTTCACTTCCATTAAAGCGTCTATCATCTGACCTGGTACAAATGAATTGTAGGATTTTCCAAGAATCAGTTTGTACTTGGTGATGTGTGAGCATGTAAACAAACAAATTTGATTGTGTTCATATCATTATTTGTCTGAGTAATCTATATGTGATATGTTGAGCAACCATATAACACATGATTGTATCTGTGAATAACCTTTGTTTTGATGAATACATGTGATTATATTAACTTTAATTAGTTTAAAGCAATCGTACGCCCAATTGTATGCCTTTACTTTTTAAGTTAATACATGTTTTTTGCTTTTGCATTGATGTTTTGTGTTTATAAATGCAATTAATCAAGGCTATTTAATTACTTCAAGTTAGTTTTCAACAGTATTATTAATTTGACAATAGAAACAGAGGTTCAGTGCATAAAATGAAAACAGTAACTTGGTGAATTTTGGATTATCAAAATGGTAGAATATTCAGGTATGATTCCTTTTTTGAAAGGGAATTTTCGTTCTGTAATCTAATATATATCATAAAAACTATATTACTGTAATGAAATAACCTAAGCACATTATTAAACGAAAATAATAACTAACCGTCAGATTCCTTTTTAAATTATTTAGTCACTTCATGAGTATTTTCGTTAGGAATTAAACCAGTTAGTTAATTTATTAGACATAAAATAAACCTTAAAACGCATGTCGAATAGTGTTGTTATCTTCAATATTGACATTTCAAGTCAAAAGATTTCCACTAAAATACTGATGGTTATCAATAAATTAAATTCTAGATTGTAGTGAATTTCGAAATTATTTTGTTCACTTGAAGTATTAATTATGACTATTGATATTCAATAGGACTTGATTTTTTAAGAAAATCTTTATATAAAACTTATGGATAAATGTTATTTCTAAAATCCCCAAACTGTTAGTGATGACGATACAGGAATGCATCAGAGAGACGACTGGTCTCTAATTAGATTACGTTGGTTGGATAAAGGTAGGAAAACGAATTATGTGGTATGCATCATCTGGGGAAAATATTATGCACAGAAAATTTTCTTAGATTGAATACTCATTGATTTATCTATGCTTAATTATCGCGTTTCAAATCCTCTAGATTAAGAATGCCGTTCTAAGATTATCATGAATCCTCTCTCTGAAAGTGATAAAAAGAAATATTTATAACAGAATGCTTTACTTCCTAAGAATGTTCATAAATATTTAAACGACGTGGGTACCAAACTTTTAAAAGACATTAAGTGTCAAAATGTTATATTCTAATTAGATTTTTGAAATAAACTTGTTTCAATTGATTTAAACAGTTACAATGCATTTGTTCAGTTTATTTAGTTCGAGCAGATATCACTCGAAATTCTCAATATTAATAGCTGATTTGATGAGTTTTACAGTGTTGACTGTATATTGTCAAATGACTTTGATGATCTATTTGTTTGTCAGTGTATAAATCTAAATAGTTTAATTTGATCATTAATGGTTTTTTTTTAAAAAACGTACAATACAACAGAAGGAGTAAATGTGACTGAGCGAAACGGAATACTCCAAATCAAAAATTGTCAAAAGATTCATATTTCTCTTACCCCTATCTAAACGAAGGACATACATGAAGAAAATGAAATGAAAACTGCTGTTTCAAAAACAGTCATCAGTATCATTTTCTCTCCTTACTATTTACATACTTTGAGTAAAATCTCTAAGACTGCAAAGATGAGAAATAGACAGACACTGTAGTCTGTATGTAAAATTATCTGTATGTAAATTTGTTTTTCGAGTTATCTTGATCGATTAGTTATAAAACGAATTTATGTGTTCGCCTCAAACATATAAAATGCACCAATCATTTTCCTCTACTTTAAACAATCATCATACGTTGGCTACAATCCCAAATTTCTAAACATCGTGTATCGAGGTAAAAACGGAAGCTATATTGTTCTAAGCAGGAATATTTCCGTTTGTAAATTTCTATTGAGTAAACAGGTATTTATGAATGATTGTTTAATTTTCGGTAGAGGATAACCCACATTTAATGAAATCATTTTATTGTATATTCATGATGGCCTATATTTGTCTTGATACTCAAAATCATATATGAAAAATAATTAAATATTTTGTTGCTTAATAAAAAAATCGAATTTAAATGCAATATTTAAAGAATAAATATACCATATGGAATTCCTCACACTTTCCAGAATTACGACAATTTAGAACTGTGGAATTATCATGTACTGGATTATTATTTCACCATGCAAGGCCTCAAGATTTTGTGAAATCTCAAGTACGTGCAGTATTTCAATATATTATATAATTTTTTATTAATAAAGTATTTTGTATGGAGCTGAAAGATATTTGTGTGACGGCTGGTGTGTTATTAGTTTAGACATTTTATCGATTCAAATGTTTAATGTTATGATATACAGTGTCGAAACCGATACTGATACACAAAGATTCTTATATGCAAACTATTGACCGTCTATTGGGTGAGAAAACTAAAGGTGAATGAGGAAGTTTATCGGGCTAAACTGAATAAAATCCATACTCACTCATTTATTTTTATACATGTATACTTCCTAGGAAACGAAACCAATGCTTGGTTCATAAAGTGGACTCATCATTAGGATTTTGATAGACACATCGTAGCTTTCTCACTTGGTGACTTTTGATTTACTGTGTCACTTAAATAACATCAAGTTGGTTAAAAAGATGGCTGTATCTGTGGTAATCAGATGGACAATACTTGTTAGCAGATATCAGTCGGGTAATCCTGGAACTATAGAGGAGGTTGCTGTTGGTCTAATGGTGTTTAAAAACCAAAACTAAAGGCTATCTGCAAAGTTGTCCCAGCAATAAAATAAAATAACAATGTACTGTCTAGACTCCAGTTAGTATAAATGTTCCCTGTAATCGTGATCCCATGAAGAGAAAACCCAAACTACATAACTATGATATCACATACAACAACAGAGCTCATCATTGACTGATCAATTCTCTTAAATTCTAGTATGTGACAATGGGAATTTTGTGAGTTCATATTAAAGCTTTGATCCATATTATCATCAAACTTTTGAATGATAAAAAACATATCTATTATCAGGGTTAAAGAATGGTAAATTCATAGCATTATTCAATCAAGATCCGGAATCTCATTTATTTTTCTGAGATCAAATTATTTAGCGTAAAATGTTCTATGTAAAACTTTATTGATACAGATTCAATTAAGTGGTGATAGTGCTGCACATTTAATTATATTGTGATGTTACATTTATTTTAGTTAAAATTATGATTTTCTTTGTACTCCACTCTCCATTGCCGTAAAATATCATTTTGAAAAAATAAAGTAAAAATTACTAAACGACATTTTGTAGAAAAGATGGATTGTGAGATGAAACGCTTTCCATAGGTTTAGTCCCAACCGTTGCTACTACCTTGACGTGTTGGTTGGGCTTGCTTATCGTGATGAACCAATCGAGCTATACTGACTGGGACAATCGGTCCTCAAAGTCCTACCATGCCGGACAGGTAGGTTGAGGAGCAGTAAGACTAAAAGCAGCAAACACAAGATCCAAGGGCGAAGTCGTACTGCTGACTGTATAGAGATGTGACGGCAGTAAGATGTTTCCTTCAGACAGCCAGCATAACAGCGATGCTGCCTTTCCACAAGGGTGGGGGGTTTGAAAATGTTGATCCTAAAAATGCACACCTCGAATTATCCCACGGATATCCGTCTCCGGTAGTAAGGTCTCAACAAGTACGGAGCTAACACAAAATCACTCACAAAAAGGTCGGGCGTAAGCCGACCTCAAGCATTTGTCTCTTGGGCACTGCGGAAACTCTCTATGGTCACTAAGACCACCCCTAAGCCAATTTTCTTCTCAGGTACCTATAGAAGAACCCTTCCACAGTGTTGGCAACCGGGAAGTGATAACTGCTCTCATACCTCTAACATCACTCAAGATCACTGTATTAATAATTTCATCAGTTTAGTTATAATCATGGGTTTATACTGACAAATAGGCTCTACGACAAACAATTTTGCTGACATAAAAATCAGGTGGCTATTTCGAGTTATTGAGTGACATTCATTATTTATAATCTGTATCCATCAAAAAGAAAGCATAACAAATCATCTATTCAGTATATTCCAACTATTCATTATTGTTGTTAGGTTTTCTTCGCACCTCATTAACATCTAATACAATGTTTCTGTGTTTAAAGCAACCATTCATTTTCCAAATATTATAGTAAAAACAAAATCATGTACAATATGACTAATTAAACAATTAATGATATGAACAAAATCAAATTTGTTTGTTTACATGCTCACACATCACCAAGTACAAACTGATTCTTGGAAAATCCTACAATTCATTTGTACCAGGTCAGATGATAGACGCTTTAATGGAAGTGAACAGATCGATTTATTGTCGATGTGAAAATTTATTGACTGTGATTTCAGGTTATTCAGACTTCTAAATCATTTCTATGACTCTCGGTCAAAAGCTGCTGTCATACAACACCGCACCACTCAGTGAATTATACTTACTAATTACAAATGTCAAATACCTAAGAATCAACAACAATACTACCCACTCAATAAGATCAAACTCCCATCGATTAGAATCAAGTTGTACAATAGGGTTGTGCAACGCAACAAAGAGTAATAGCCAATGATTGCATCACTCTACAATCTTGAGTGCGTTAATGCATGACCCATTGTCAGCACTGCAATCTCATGCAATAACAGAATGACAAGCTTATGTTGGATACTTGAATGGAGTCGAATTATAAAGTTCCAGTGAAGGAAGTTTGATGAATATGAAAATATTGCTGAACAATTCCTGAAAAAGAGTTGATATATTCAAAAGTGGAAGGGAGAGATAAATTGAAGAATAAGTAGCTATACTGTCAAATAAGACACTTCAGAACTGATTTTCAAACGACTGATTCGGTTATACACATGTAAATCATTTTATGTTGTTTCGCATTGCGAATTGGAAGTTGGGAAACCGTAAGGACGTTTGAATTGGTAGATCTGCTTCTATGGTTAGGATTAACACAGGTCTCTCAGTCTTATGTTGTTGACAATTCAAACTACTTAATTTTCAAGCCTGTATAATCGTACTAAATGCGTTACCGTGACCTTTGTAATGAATACTGTGTCAGTACAACGCACTGAAACTAAGGGAATGTTACACGGAATTATATCACTAACTACATATGATAATTCTACGTGAAGGCCACTTTTACACTTATCAAATTGTCAACATTTTTAACTGTTCTGCTATAAAATGAATGAAACACTTTTAATGTAATTATTAATTATGCGTAAAATTTATTTATGAATATACGAATTTGGTAAATATATTTACTACTCACTAATAAGTAGTGATAATGTACTGTATAAATATATGATTTGTGATGCAGATATGATTGAAAGCTACTGTGCTTCTTTTTGCTAATCGAGAGATACTTTATTATTTCGAATATGTCTGTCTGTCATATTTGTTACATAGACAATGATTGAATGATTTTAGTTGAGATCATGATATTACAAGGTTGATTTATTACTTCTGAATGATGCTGTTTTAAATCTGGTTTTCTGATATATTCGAACGATTTTCCTGTTGTGGTTATTAGCTATAAGATATATTAGTTAGTTTGTTTTTCTTAACTGAGTTCAATGAAGTGCGAATGTGGTGAAGAAAGTAACTTAATCTGAAATCACAATTTTATTTAAGCGAATATTATTTATTTGACTGAATACTTTTATAGAAAACTAACATTAGTAATCCGAATACAGTGGAAAAATTAATTAGTATGAAATTATATAATGCAATTAGAAGACAAAGATTATTAAAACCATATAATATATGAGCGCAGAACATTTCGAACAAATTAATAACACCTTTACTTAAAAAAACACTAATAAAATAAGAGGAAAACAAAGATATTGATAATAACAGTGTAAATCAAATCACTCTGGATATTAAATCTATATTACAAATGTAGATTTAATGTAAGCACAAATAGTTTTGAATATGCGAAAGAGATTTGAACATCCGTAGAGCTAAAGTTTCAACGAGTATAACTAGTTTCCCTAAACAAGATTTATTGATTACTACAAAGAGTGTGTTCACATCAAACTTACGAAATTATTAAGAATAAACGAACTTTGTCCAGTAATGGAATCCGAGGCACATATTTTGTACTGTTTAGGACTTGCCGGATCGATTTACCTGCATCTGCGTTGATGAACCCAGTAACTTTCACTTTAAATACCATCGCATTATCCACTTAGTTACTGAATCCGGATCGTTACTCGTTTGTGTAAACAGTAAGGCTGATTAAATTTCAGCCATAATGTTGACAACGAGGTTAATTTTATTCACTCCTTTAATTATGTGTATTAGGATATTTCATTTTAGTATGGGACTCCTCAGCAGTGCGCATCCACGATCCCGCTCCTCGCTAGATTCGAACATTTAGTTGGTTAAGCGCCTGGCGCGAGACTGCTAGGTCCTGGGTTCGAATCGAAACGGCCGTCCAGTGCTTCCAGGTTTTCCATGGTGGTCTAGCTTCAATAGATTCATGATTTCAACCAGTTAAATTTCTAAAATCTCCACACAATCCCTTCTGATAATATTTCATTTTGTTCATTTCTGCATCCCCTTTAGTACATATATAGATATTGCAATGAGAAGACGAAGTTTATCAGAATTATGTGATATATTAGCGCAATACATATCGAACTTGTTAAGAACATTTATATATGAAAATTAAAAGGTTAACTAGACACAAAAACAAATGTGATTAACTTACACTTAACCTACCCTGGTAATACTGATTTATTATCCAGAATGGTAATCACATTTGTTTTTGTGTACTTACTCTTAACTTGTCTAGTTGACCTTTTAATTTTCATATATAAATGTTCTTAACAAGTATATGTGTGATCAGATTGTTCGAATTGTATTGCGCTAATATATCACATAATTCTGATAAACTTCGTATTCTCATTGCATTATCGAAATTTATCAAAGGGACTAATTGTTTTAAACATATTTACATAACCTAATTTGCAAGTCATTATTCCTAATAATGTGTGTATCCACACAGTGTTCTTCAAAAACCAAGAAGTCTATTTATATCAGTCTTATGAACTATTTCAGTTACATGTATGGCAGTAGAGGCTATTTGATTTTGTTTGTTTCAATATATTCAGGCAATGTCACGTGCAAGGCACTGTTACTTCTACAGATCAATGTACCCATACACATGTAAATTAGTAAACTCAATCAAATGTTACACAAGGTTTTGACTTTTGGGAAAGAATGCAATTTATTTATGCAATAATGACTTTTCTTGTATAATGCGTTTTACTTGGAAATGACTGAAATGTTTGTTTCAGCACAAGGTCATTTGACTGACATCTGAATGACAGGGTGATATTGACAGTCATTTGTGTGTCAGAAGTGTAGTTGGTTTTATCATACTGTAACCTTCCTTTCAATCCATACCTTGTCTAAAAGCTGAGACCCTTTAGTTTTCACAGTACAAATGCTTTTATTGAGTTTTTAAAGTGCTCAACTTCGTATATGCAACGTTTATTTAGTTGTATTTAACTTTACAATAAATGTGAATCCATTTGGTTTTACGTTTGTAGATGATAAATCCTTGGTAGAGTTTTGCAAAAAATTTTTTTGTCATTCCAATAAACTTCTCATCACACTATTTCATGTTGTTTTGGATAATTTTCAACATCATGTATAAGTGAGCGACTACGTTTTATACAGTGAAGTTAAACATTAGCAATGTCGAATGCCGACTTAGTCGTCTAGAGTTTCGGCGATCGAATGCCAAACTGAAGGTCCTGGATTTGATCCCCGTATAAAGATTCATGGGTACACATTGCTGAGTACTAGTACTAAACGGCCATCCAGTTATTCCCGGTCTTTAACAATGGTCTAGCTAAGATTGTTCGTGATTTCAAAGGTGGAAAATATAACTGATTTGAAATACTGTTTGTATTGAACATTACATGAAATATCAATAAAGCAACAGTAAATAAACAAACATTTCAAAATTCACAAGCAAATTTACTAGAGAATTTTTATTCGTTTAATGACTCATCTGGTCACTTGATAATATCAACATTTATTTTCATACAATTTTTCCAGTGGATGTGTTTTACACCGAAATATTTCACAATATATCGTGTATCTCTGGCAATTCTTTTGTTAGTATGGATTATATACGATATTGTTAGAGAAACAATCAGACTTTTCGACCGTTCTGAATATAGTTGGATCACGTATGGCACAAATTGGGGATTTCTGATACTTACCATAGTTCATATATCACTAGCTATCTACTGCTTGATTTACAACATAAAATGTAAGTACTTTTATATATGCAATTAGATTACATTTAAATCATATATTTATAAAAGTAAACTTTTATGAACGTTGCAATTTAACTACCTGTGATAATTAGGAATATTTGAATTATAATACAAACTAAGAATCCCAGAAATAACGCAATTGGATCAAAAAGTACTAGATAAGCATAAACGAGTGTACTGTATTTGAAATTCGAAATGAAGCATTCACTATGTACAAAGGAATCATTAATTCATACAAACACCACGCTACCTTTCATCCATCAACAATATAAGTTGTAGTAATTTAAATAAAATAGTTTCAAACAAAAAAACAAACAGAAGATTTCTCAGAGAAAATATCTTATAAGGCTTGGAGACGTAAATTAAAAAAAGTTTATGTAATTAGTGTTTAATCAGCTTTTTCTATCAAAGTTGAAAAACATTTTCATGAATTTATAATGAAACTGATTTAAGGTAGTGAAAGTATTTAAATATTGATAACTTTCAGTAGATCAATATTGTTATTGGATATCAAGATAAAATATCCTCATTTTGTGTAAGGGAAGTAAAAGCTTTATTATTCATTCTACTAATTTGGACATAAAAATCATAAATAATCTTTATATTGGGAACACTGATCAATATTATTAACTCACCGTGCTAAACAAATCACTGAATCTGAAATAAGTAGTCGATTGCCGTCTTTTCTTGCCAGACTATTTGATTTTGTTTGTTTCAATACATTCAGGCAATGTCACGTGCAAGGCACTGTTACTTCTACAGATCAATGTACCCATACACATGTAAATTAGTAAACTCAATCAAATGTTACACAAGGTTTTGACTTTTGGGAAAGAATGCAATTTATTTATGCAATAATGACTTTTCTTGTATAATGCGTTTTACTTGGAAATGACTGAAATGTTTGTTTCAGCACAAGGTCATTTGACTGACATCTGAATGACAGGGTGATATTGACAGTCATTTGTGTGTCAGAAGTGTAGTTGGTTTTATCATACTGTAACCTTCATTTCAATCCATGAGTTTTAGAAAATAACGATTTTCTGTGAATTTTTGTTTAATGGCTTCACGTCATCGACATTTGTACAAATTAAGTTAATCGTATCAACTAAATCAGTTGTCCAGTTAACGTGTACGCAAAAATTATCAGTTGCTTTTGAACTGTCATCGTTTTGAGTATGTAAGAGATAACCTGTAAAGGAAAACATTGACCGTTGTTATCCGCTGAGTGCAAAACAAAGCATTGAGTCCTAGGTAAGCTTTTGTAACAAATAGAGATCATCAACCGCTGAATACAATTGAAGATGGTTGCTCGATAATATTAGACAATCAAAGCATTGTACTCCAGACCAATGATCTAGAGATTAAGCCATCAAACGCCTGACCGAAGGTCATGGATTAGATTCCGCTTGGCGATTTTGAGTAGGAGCATTATTGAACGTCCAGATACTTGTACGAATCAGCTGTCCAATCGCTCTTAGTTTGCAGTAGATTTCTAACATGTATCTGTTAGGGCTATCAAGAATGTTGAATAATCTTCACAAGCCTCTGTGCCGAAAGCAGAATTTAGCTGGAGGATAAGTAAAACCAATGGATTATTGTGTAGTCAATATATCATTATTTGAGACAATTCAGCGATTCGCACTTCATGGATCCCGTACAGAATCGAATTCAAAATTTTCTGGAAGACACAATTTTTTCGGACTACTCATGCCTCACATGTCCAACTTCAGTTAAGTTGCGATATTAGAGAATCATTGGATTCTGACTTACTGGTCTAGAGAAATTGGACTTCCAGTAAGGACTGAAGCTAGTAATCCGACACCGTGGTATGGTCTTGAGTGTATACTTTCTATGAATCTCATGTTAAGATGCAACAGTTATTCAAACTCTCCGGTTTTTAATGATTCTTCTGAGATGTTAGTTCATGATGAAAAATAGAGTCAAGGCGAACAGTTTCTGCGGATTCTTTACGTCTTAATCAACCACTCAATGACATGAACCTTGAACGTTGATTTTATGTAGAACATTTTTCTCATGAAGAATATAGTCAATACAGTTTACATAAGGTAAGTATATGTGAATATCGACCAGGAAGAATAAAGTGAAAACCGTGGTATTCTTTAATTACAATATATTTCATTTACCTTAACTCTAGTTATCGTTGTATTTTTCAATAAAATACTATAAGATTAATGTATTCTACAAACTGAATTTCCACTAATTTCCATTGATTTACTGTTACACATAGATTCTAACCATGAACCAAGATATTATCAACCGATATGGTTTCTGTATAACTTATCAGCAACATGTATGCTTGCGGTTTCTGTCATATTTTGGTTTTCATTGTCGAACATTCCATTGAGTAAGCTAAATAATAATTATTCTACATTTCAACGAGTCTATTTATTTATTAATAATTTTTTATTAAACTCATCTAGTCCAGACCATGTAACAAATGAATTTAGTTCCGATAAAGAACTGACATTAACTAAACAACTGTTGAGGATTAGTCTTTCTCTAACAGCTTTTGCGTGACTGAACACTAACGAATGATGCAGAATTAGAACGTCGGAACCGTTTAGTACTCTATATTTTTGAATGACTTTAGTTAGTTACTTCTCAATGAAAACAACCTTAAACCTTTCTTCTGTGTGTATGTATATAGGTAAACACTGGATGTTACTTGAAGGATTGCAACTTCATATAACAATGGGGATGTAGTGATATACTGAATAAAACTGACGGTTAACTTGATTGAAAGTTTATTTCACTATGATCCGAGTTTAAATATCATGAAGAAAGTACATCTATTAACCACTAAGGGTGAAAATAAAACTGTAGAAATAGGTTAAATAAACAACATAGTCACAGGTCTCAGAACCTATTATTTGGTTGACTGAAAATCCAAATAGGTGTAACTTTCTATCTTTTTATGCTGGGGATACTAAATACTTTTCCTGGTTCAAAATCTAATGATTTTGATATTTATAGAAATTTGCAAAACATATACATATTGTTCAACCTCAAAAATTTTAGGAATTGTTCCTACAAATCCTTTAGTTTGTATAGAATAACGACTGTCTTCACCAGTTTAATAAATTAAGTGAAGTGACTATTCGGATGAAAATTCTCTAGATTTATAAAACTCATCTGAAATTTTGTCTTCTATAGCATTCATAATATAAGTATCATCACGAACCTCACTGTTATCAACCGCATATACTTTTATGTTTCTGATAATTCTCGAACTTGAAGGGTCATTATCACTGTGTTAACAAGAAAACCAAGTGTTTTAGATGGTTCCTGTGTGATCAATGACGTGACCTTCAATGTTTCATCCACTTTCTCCAACCTGTTTAGCATGCTTTGTTAATTTATTTTATCTAATTTTTGATCACTGAGTACTGGCTAATGTTATATTTTGCTTAGTGAAGACGCGAACAAAACGGATAGTCTATGATGGTCTTGTGTAACAATAAAGCATTCATTGCACTGAATTTCTCTTCCAGTAAATCTAAAACATTGCTTTGTTTCAATATCCGGATAGGTCACAACGAGGGAAGTAAATGAGGACATCGATTTGAACTTGAAAATTAGCATGATAAACTGATTCATGACTAATGATATTCCGTTTTATGATGAAAGTCACTGGGCTTTAATTTACTCACTTCTATTCTAAATAACCTTATTTGTTACAAGATAGTTCCACGGTTATTTTATGTAGATTTATTCGATGAGCATTCCAGAAAACAAGATAGTTGGACAGAAGGTAGAGACGAAGATTATTTGAATTTAGGGAACTGTAACTATGTGTTATGTAAGCATTGTTAAGAAAGTAACAGAATTACAAAATTTCAAATGATGGAAAGAATGGAGATCTTATAAGAATTATAAGTAGTTAGATCATAGGGTATAGGGAACCGTGAAGTTGTGCTATTGTATCACCAAGAAGACGAAATGATATCGAAATGTCTGTAGATTAACAACTGGTTGTTTATCAAGTCATAGATTCATTTGTGGTCTCTTGATCACCGTCGCCTAATAGGAACGTAATAAGTAGGGTTGTTAATAAGTTTGAATGAGTTAGAAATCATTGGTGTTAGTTCTGTTATTGTTGAGTTGACACATACTGATAAGGATATTTTCAGATAGTCTTAGATACAGAAAGGTGTGAATCAGGTGAGTGAAAGAGATGAGGACCCACAAATTTATGTGGGACATATTATAAAACTGCTTAATATGAAACAAGGGTTTATAACTCGTGGCATTGTGCCTTGTTAATACATAACGTAATGATACCGCCAATTAGAGCACAGTGAATTATCGACCGGACCAATCACACATAAAACCCGTACTAGCAGTCTAGAGTCTTTATCGGTCCTTCTTCCTGCCTAGCCCTGCCTGTTAAGTCAAGAACACAAACTTCAGCCTCCGCGATATGAATCATGTATTACAAACATACTCGGTTTATATACCAAACAAGCAGACCACAACATACCATAAAATAGAAAACAACATTTGTACAAGATCTAGCCAAAAAGGGTTGTGAATGTAGGAGACTAATTAATAGACCGGGCATAACTCAAGACCGGTTAATCCTATAATAATAGTCTATGGCTCAAAATAAAGCTTATAATAAGAGGAACATGAATATGCATAGTTTAGCTACTTAGCAATTATACAATGAATATATATGTATCGTATTTGTTCATAAATGGTTCTCAAGAGTTACCATTCATAACTCTCGTCGGGATATAACAGAAGGCTAACTGGAGATTTGTCGACATGATAGTCTGACAAACAGTGTGTTTAAAGTAAACCTAGATCAAGTAGCCTCAGTAATTTCTATCATTCGATTGACTGCAATATGAGCAAAAATCAGTCTGTATAGAAATAATCAGAAATTCAACTAACACAATAACATCATTCGCGTATAAAATTGACCAATTCCTTTGATGTCTGTAATTTCATCGATTTGCAACGTAATGTCTCTTTTAATCACTGAAATAACTAATTTTTCACTAACATACATAAGTCTGATAGGCGTTTTCAGTTTGACTTTGCATATTTGATTTACAGATGTATTCACAAGTTGGCAGAGTCGAGTTAAACATTCATTAACTTCAATCTTGGTCGTAATTGACACATGCCTTTGTGCTATTCCGATGCGAATGATACATGTCATTTATCCTTGTCTACTCGGTGTGATATATAGTTTATTCACATATTTGTTTTGGTTACTCGGTGGTGCAGGTCCTTATAATAAAGGACAAATTTATCCTTCCATTGATTGGAGTAAACCACAACCAACATTACTAGCCTGCTTTAGTGCTTTGATGTCTGCTATTTTATGTCATGTGAGTTTGATTTTTAAAATAATGTTAGATCTGAAAGCACGTTCAATTCGATGGATAATATAGCTTTATGATCAGTCGATCATAGCAATCAGTAACATTAACTATTCTTAGTTATTTAAGTGATTCGTTTCGTTAATAGGCTTAACAAATTCGTTCTCACAGACTTTATGGGGAAGTTAAACGTGTTCGATTATTTTTGTTGACTATGATAAGTTAGTCACATTTTGGCAATAAATGCTATTATATCATACGTGAAGTAGAATTTTATTTACATATAATTTTGTTTGTCAATGGGGTTATGCATGAATATCAGAACCATGTGTAGTACTTACTAGAATATATAGTTGTAAATTGCTTAAACTAATCAACGTTTCTTGTTAGCTACCAGTAAGGCTATTATAAAAACAGAATGACTACTTGGTTTATTCACTACCTGTATATAGTGTAAATAAAATAATCCACTTGTGTTCACGAAAATATTACGCAAACGTTTGTGCAACTTCAATATCACAACAGTGCTGATCAGTCCATCAAACCTTGGAGACAAATCACTCAAACAAACAATAATGTAACTTTTCAGTTTTATCTTGAGGTATAAATTTGAATGTGGATAATGTCAAAATCCTTCTCATTATTTCTTGATGAAATTTCCATTTTCTGATGTTAAGTGTTGTATGATAAGGTGCTGTTTAAACAAATAAATGTTCTTCTGAAATTAGGTCAAAAGTGTTACACAATTTTTGTTTTTGAAATGACTATGAGATTTTGGATTATGTTTGATGAGGATTATGCTGCTGATATTCTTCTGAACTATTTTAATTTAGTATAGGGTTGTGGAGACCGTTGAGTTTTTAATTGAGATCATGAACTGATCGATGATATACAAACATTAAAGACCTGGAAGCATTGAACGGCCGCTTCGTCCTAGTATGGGACTCCTCAGCAGACGCACCCGCTGTCTCACTCGGGATTCGAGCCCATGTCTCGCGCGCGAACGCCTAACCTCTAGACCACTGAACCGGCATCGTGTGGTTTCAGTGTTTGACTTCAGCCAATCCACAATATTGCGCGACCATCTTCCATAGTCTTAGGTGCGTAACTGCCTCACACCCGACACCATAGAACTCCATATTTAATAATTGTGAACAGATTTTTGGTTCGATAAAATTTCGATGTATTTTCTCTGATTATTTTTTGTGTACACTAACTACCTGGGTCATCAATTCATCGGTATGATTCACGCTTTTATGTACTAACACTTTACCATTACCTAATCTGTTTTTTGGCGATATCGTTCTTTAGAAAAGTAGTATTGGTTGCTCGCGTTCTTATCTGTCTAGTTGATGGAAGATCAAAATAAGAATTAAAATAATTAATTTCATATGACATTTTGTACGCAGCAATAGTTATTTATCATTTTGAACTATTGAGATCATACTTTTGATAACCAAGTTACATATATTTCAATAGTTTACAGCCTTCCCATGACTTTAGGCCAAAAGACATGACGCTAACTAGATGAAAGTGTATGTCGCTCTACTAGTAATGAAGTGGATACGACATATTAGTCTGTGATATCTTCGTAACACTAGTATTTCTTTGAACTACTTATCTATTGATTATCAATTAAATTTCAATATGGAATCAAAAGGGAAGAACGAGAAATCACATTTCGTGTTTCGGAGAATTCCAAAAGCGGAAACTGAATAAAAAATTAGAAACCGACAAAAAGAAAGTCGGAAAACAAACGAGGTAAATTTTCGAGGGTCTTGTTTAATGTACACCATCAAGGACTTCTACATCACTGTGGCGTTTGACTTCTTTATACATGATTGCGCTCTAACGACGAATATCAAAGATAACACATCCACATGTACCCATCTTGTTCTGTCTTAAATTGCACTATTTCGGGAATTTTTAGTTAGTAGATCAGTTCGAATACTTATAATTATCATAACCGCCCGATCAATACCGAAAATATTTAGCTATGTTATTGTGAACGGAAGTGGGAGATTAGCATGATAATTAACTTCTATTTCGATTTATCGAAGTGTTACAAAAACGTTAGTGTTAAGTAGTTGCAAAAAATTAGGAGCTATATATGTTCCTCTTATGGTCTTTCGAAATGTTTTATGTGTTATATATAGATGATTTAGGCTTGTGTATGTATTTTAGCTTCACTGTTGAAGTGTATCAGCTTGAAGCTAGTATTATGTTAGGTAGATTTCTCGTATGACTGTTAAAGATGAATTTATTTAATTGTGATTTTTTCTTTGTTATTTACTAGGCCATACTTTATATAATCTATTTCGTACGAGTAAATATAAGCGCTAAATTAGGAGGTCGAGGTTTCATGCTCATTAAAGAATCGAAGGACCAACAGTGTTATGACAATGAGGAATTTGATTTGAGCGAAGCGATCAGTGAGAGTGGCAAACAAACTATCCAGATAAGGAAGATGCAAAATCCACAAACAATGTATCAAAAATATGGTACAATTGAATAAAACATTATTACTTTATACACGTAGTGTGTAGACCAAATTTTCATAAGGTTATCTTTAAAAAATTGCTGAACATTGATTTAGTATGAGGTGGATACTATTTGTTAGTGTCATATTCATTTCTATTATCCGATGTTAAACTGTTCCCACTTCTTATACTGAAAATGTGCTTCTAATAAATACCGACCAGGATAGTAAGGTGTGTTTCACCAATCGAAATTCTGTCCCTTTTTCTAAATCCAAATCAGATATGACAAAGGACTGCTATTGGTCACTTATCGACGAAGTCAAGATCGGAACCAACCTAAATCTGAGACCATTTTCACAATATGGAATGTTTGAATGGTTCTGTTATTCTATCTTAATGATATTGTTAAGTCAAAGGACAATATTTGGCTTACTTGCCTAGTAATTCATTCGATGATATAGGGAGTTCCAAGTGGTTGAAATACGTCAAGGCTTTCTAGTGAAACTGAGTTCAAGGGCCACTAGTATTATCTGCCTGAGATTTCAAATATCACAATTTGATACTAATCCAACCTAGAGAAATGACTGTTCACCAACACTCAGATTCTCCTAAATCCTACTTTACAGCATATAGCCCACCTAGGGAACCACTCTAATAAGCTTGTTTATTTTGAATATTGAATAGGAATCGGAACACATTTTGTGCTTCAAAAGTTTCTCCTACAACTAGTGAGTTTGTTGAACGCTGTTTACTTCACACATTTGAGGATCCGAGACAGACAATACAAAGTGATGACTCATTGCCATAGAGATATCTAAACATCGAATAAACTACAGTATCCACCTTTTGATAATCTAAAAATATAGCATATTGACTTCGACGAGTTGTATCACAAGCGGTCATCTCACATAAACCAACTTTGCTTGGGTAATACTGAAATGACTCACACAAATATTCCACTCAATGTTGAGCGAAAAACCTTGTGGGTGATTTGGGTTGCATTAATGTTTATTCAACGGCTTGGAGACATGATTCCTGAAGGAATGCCACTGAAGATAAGTGTAATCACATCACCGCGTGGATAGTGTTCATATTAAACGTACAAGTTTAAATGTGTCAGTGACGTTGTGGACTGATGGTTGAAAATTAGACAAAACAGTCGGTTCTTAGTTCATTGGATAGCGCAGTCACTACTTACAAAATTTTCATCCTCCAATCGTTTAAGACACCTTAGCATATCTACTTTATGATTAAGATTTCGTACAAGAACAAGTTATGTCTTTACAGGAAAAACTTATTTTTCTGGCCGGCAGTCTTGATTTCGATATCGGTTTATTCATAAGATTGGATCATTAATCCGGCACTGTGAATAAATATATTTCACAGTGGTTTAAGTAGATCACAACAACCCGATTCTTAATTTTTTTGTCAGAGTAATATAGAGTAAAATAAAGTGAATACTATTTTAAACTGAACATTACCTTGGATTCATTGTACTTGAACTGGTAAACTCATACGTCAATCAAGATAAATCTAGGTCAGCCCACAAGCCGCTTTTACTTAATCATCCAAAGGGTAACCAAGATCGCATTATTGTCACAGTGATATCGAAATATTGATATTATGTTTAGTTATTTGGGATGTGAAATTGGATGCACTACTTTCCACACATCCGGCTGAGTCAAACGCTTTGAGCCAACAATAATGTAAAGTATCACGGGAATGATTTAAGTGGTTTACATCTTGTGAAGAAGACAGATTACAAACAAAACAATTGAGAAAAATCTCAAAAAGTGAGGAAGCTGGATTTTTCCACTATAGGAGGAACTTTCATAGCACATATGTGTTGGAGCTTAAGCTTATGATTCCGTCTAGAATGAGGGTTAAACGTAGAAAAAGCGCAATATATGGTATAACAGAATCGTTAACTTTTTGCATGAAGTAAAACCAAGCAGTATCAATCTGCGAGTATACAAACATCATTGTTTAGTATAAATTACAAATAAACAGTAATGAAAGAATGAAATTCTAATACATAAATGAAAAACATCTTAACGTGGTTTATTCTTAGGAAAGTATTATTAAACGATAGAGAGAAAAATAGTATGATCGCTGGATAATGATGAGTGAAATATGAAACACGAGGATGAATTACCAACAGAATGTGGAAGCATAAAAGCTTTTCACAGCAGTGACAGAGAATTAACAGTCCATAAAACAAAATTCGTAACTAGAGATGCAATTAAAAATACAATTTTACTATGATAATAATATATGTATTAAACAGTGACTTGAAGATAATACAATTCTAGATAGGATATATATATATATATATATATATATATACGAAAAGAAAATGTAGATTTATTGATCTTATCTCTACCTTAAAATTAGATTGAAAAGTAGAAAAATGAAGATTAATCGCGTTTATGAGCAGGGAAAACACAATTAAGATCTGTCGTTTACATTACGATTATCAGTTGAAAAATCAATTGCTAAGTGAGAATATACAAGAAAATAATCAAATAATTAAGCATTTATATGTATAAATATATTTGACAAGATAAACAGAAGAAGCACGTAGATAAACACGTACAATGAGAAACTACAAGTGTGCGTCCAACGGAACTTATCGTAGAATCAAGAAACTGAATCCGTCGATTGGTCGGCCAGCGAGACTGACGTTTGAGGCCCACTAACGAAGGCCAACTAGGGAATCGAATGAAAATAAACACATACAACGAAGTGATTACTGGCGAAAATACTAATTAAACAACAAGCAATTAGTACAAATAGAAGATTACGGATAGCCAGTTGAGTATTGAGAATATACCACGTGAAACAACTGTGATTTCAAGGATAACATTTTGTTTTTAAGAAAATAGTTGAGGGCGAAGAATAACTAAGAAATCGGATTGAAGGGGGAGAGCTATGGTTTTCGTAAGGTTACGATGATGCAAAATATACTTAGGATCACAGTCGTGTGATTGCAGGAGATAAATACCATCTTCCTGAAGTGATTCTTGGTAGTGAAGTCTTGTGACTTATTCTACGACTATCTTTACTGATTCGAAGGTTTGCTATAACTAATCCGAACATACTGATGGATAATTATGTACAACATTGCGCTTTTTAACTGCACATATATCCATACAAGGAACGAGAATCACTGGGTGATAAATACTTTGAACAAGCTATTCTGCATAGTTTAAAAAACTATTTACTTAAATATCTAGGTACCATTTGATCAATGCAGAATATCGCTTGTAATGTACATCTCGTTTTAAAGAGTGCGGTATTCTGTTATTTCATGCACATGTAACTAGTACAACACAAATACACGGTAGGATGGTGGATCATTGCTTAAGGTGTTCGGTTTCCTGTCATTAGGTTGCAGGTTTAGGAATCCGTCCACTTATTTCGGCATGAGAGACTGGAAAATATCATTAACCATGAAACTCAAAGCAGAGTGCATAATTCTGTACCTAGTAAATAAGTTAATAATGATAAACAAATTATTACGGATAAAGTTATGAAAAAGATACTGTGTAACTAATATCAATTATTTAAAAAAATAAATCACTAAACAGTAAAAGACATTCGAGGTATGGAAGCAGTTTAAATCCATGCTCAGACTTACAGGAGTTGATATTGGCAAAATAATTGTAGTCCCTAAAGAAGAAGATACAGGGGTACCTAGGGTAGTCATTCCTGCATTTGCTACTTTGATGTCTGGAGTCGATACGGAATGAACATTATTGTTTTGTATATCATTTGAGCCGTTAACTACAGCATACTGTCTGCCAGCCAGGGATCGTGAAGGTATGTTGGTTAAACCACTGGGGCCAGTTGATAATAATGTTGGACTCAAGATCACAGCCGAACCAACCGCTGAGGGAACGGTAGACATTGTGGTGGGAACAGATGATTCATCAATGAATGAAGACTCAAGTTTGCTAATCTAAGTATAGGAATTCACACAAATCACTGATACTCATAATGACTTACATGGATAATGAAAATAGTGAAAACGAAAAAGATATGAGTAAGCCAAATTCGAAATGGCAGAGGTTTACAATTTTCTCCCATCACCTAAATGTGACTGCATTTTAACTTGCACTGAGAACACATGCCTTCTATACTGTCATTTCGTTCGATGAATCTCACCTGCCATATCTGATTATACTCACTTTCAGTAACATAACAAACTGAAACGTAATCAAAGCATCACGAATGTTAAAACATAATGCATCTGTGAGCACTGCGACATCGTTTTATCGTATTCTTAACTGAAATCCTAAACGCAGACTTAACACAACTACAAATCGATTGCAAAATGCAGATGAATCTATTCTTGTTTTATTACACAAAAATAAGTAGTTTTATATGTATCTGAAATTAAAATAACACGGACATGGAGCTGATTTGTAATCTGAGGTTACCTAAATTTGTGAGTGGCACAATAAATTCCACACATTGCAGCTAACAAACATTTTTTAATAGACAACAGCACAGACCATCAGTTTGAGATAAAAACAAATAACAGTTAAGACACAGACACCTAGAAAAAACAACTATTACATTCATTCAAGTGTACCAATTCGCTACAGCCATTTGACTAAACAAGTGATGTTTGTTAGATGATTTTTGTTGCTTTTATAGATACTAGCGTTATTTAGTATGAAGAATATAAGAATACGATCAGTTCATGAATGATCACAACACGCTATTTTAGGTGTTAAGTAACTCATAATGACATCTCAAATATAATAATGAGCAAGGACTAAATGTCGATATAGATCGTGTATTTACCTACAAATACAACCATAACGACAGAAAATGAATATCATGAAAGAGAATCAATTTTTGCCCGTCAGCAACAGTCAAAATGGCCAAATAACCTATGATAATATGGATTTCTAACAGTTTCTTCAATACAAGCATCGAAGTACAACCAAAAGCACAGATGGCTAGTAAAGATTTAAATTCTGAGTATTTTATCAGTCAATCAGTAACAACGTACACCACTTCGAGTTGCCACACCACATTAGCATAAGGATACAATTGTCGATTCAAATCCTATAGTGGTAGAGGTAGTAAAAGTATAAGCATTAATCGGAAAATTAAGGTTTGAAGATGTTATTCAAGGAGCGTAATCCAGTCAAATAAATTTTGGAAGAGAAAAAAGGACAGGAATTCAGAAGATTAGAATTTGGGAAAACACAAAGAGTGGATGCACCTGAACCTAAACATTTTATATTGTAATATTGATCTGTCTACTTATTTTATTTATTTATTTGAACACATAAATCTTGGTACAAGAGGGCACCAAATATATATGTGCCACACAAAACAATGAGGATTAGAAAAGAAAAAAAAGAACAATAACGAACAGATTAGTGTAAGGTAGTGTAATAATGATAATAATAATGGGGAAAACGGAAAAGTTAACCAGAAGAAATCTTTCAGTTAAGGAAGATACAACCACTTTTTATGAAGAAAGTAAGAGAAGGTTACAGCAGGATCGCCACTGGCTTCTATTCTGAGCCATATCTGATAACGTTTCTAGACACTGTGTCGCACCATCTCTCGGAGCCCAGCCAAGGAGTCGTGAAGGACCAACAGAAGCTAGCCCTTTGCAGCTTTCTTTCATACCACGACACCATGTCATATACTGACCACCTCTCCGCTTTTTCCAACCAGTCCCAGAGTCGGCAAATAATGCACGACGTGGAATTCTCTGGGACGACATTCGTAAAACATGTCCAAGCCACCGAAGTCGGTGTTTCAAGATGGTGACACCAATTTCATTATCGTCTCTGTGACCGAACACTCGATGCCGAACCTCTGCATTACTGACATGGTGTTGCCACTGGATGCCAGCAATCCTTCGGAGACAACGATGATCGAACACAGAGAGTCGTCTAACATCCTCAACTCGGAGAGGCCAGGTTTCACAAGCATAGAGCAAAACTGCTCTCACCGTCGCGTTGTAGATTCGACCTTTTACAGCCAGACTAACATCACGAAGGCGCCAAAGATGGCCCAGATTGGCATAAGTCGCTCTGGTTTTCACTTTACGGCCATTATTCTCACCACTCACGCCACCACCAGCAATTATAGAGCTACCCAGATACACGAACTTCTCGACTACTTCTATATGCTCACCATCCAGGGTGAGTACAGGATTAGAATCCTGCCAGTCTTGTAGAAGAACTTTGCACTTCGAAGGTGCAAAGCACATACCATACCTACGGACATTGATTGCCAACTGATTAAGTGCGGATTGCATGGCTTGGGCATTCTCGCACAGTAAGACAATATCATCCGCATACTCAAGGTCGAGAAGTCTTTCTCCAGGCAACAGATCCACACCACCATTACTTACATCCATCAGAGCTGTTTCCAGAATGTCATCGATGACAAAGTTGAAGAGGAATGGTGAGATTGGGCAACCCTGTCTAACCCCACTGCTTGAATGGAATAATGGAGAAAGGTGGTTGTATGCCCTCACTCTACCTGAGGTGTTTGTATATAGGGCTTTTAGGATGTTAATAAACTTCTCAGGCACACCCTTCTTCAATAGACAATCCCAGAGAACAGTCTTGTCCAACGAACCGAAAGCGGCCCTGATGTCAAGAAACACTACGATTGTTGGCCTTTGATAAGTATGACGGAGTTCTAACATTTGGCAGAGGGTGAAGATATGACCAATACATCCTCGACCAGAACGAAACCCAGCCTGCTCCTCGCGAGTCAGTCTTTCTCGGGTTTTGAACAACCTACGAAGTATAACGGAAGCCAATAGCTTGAACGCAATCGGAAATAGACTTATCCCCCGATAGTTGTTACAGGAACGACGTGAACCCTTTTTAATGATAGGGACAACTATCGACTCATTCCATGACGTTGGTACACTCTCTAGTTCCCAGACCTTTGTAAACAACGTCGTCAGTCCCTTAGTCAGAAAGTCACCACCATCTGTGATACTGCCCCCAAATGCCCTGGTATGGCCGAGAGTGGGGTGGGTTCGCCCTCCCTCTCGAAATACTCTCACACGGCCACGCGTATATAGCCTCTGCCAGGGAAGTCCTACTCACTGCCTTCTCGTGGCGGGGGTGTTGTTTACGAAAATGAGAGGATGAAAAGCGAACGTCCGGCGCTATAACCGGATCTCAAGTCAATGGTGCACATGGGCTCCCGTATCCTACGGGAACAAATGGCGTATGAACCGATTTCTTGGTCACCGGCTTCCATGGGACTGCATCTCCTCACGATGCTCCACTGCCTTGTGGGTTAGACCTTTGGGTCAAAGGCTCGGGGTGTGGCCCCCTAAGAAAATCACCTGCTTCGGTCTCGGCACCCGGGCAGTATCACAGCCCACACATAAATATAATGAAAATGGTGATATTCATTGAAAACTCTATTCTCGCTTCGATTTACAGTCAAACGATTTATATAATAATAATTATCATTATTATTTACCACGTCATTTATTCACTCTCTTTTATTCCCACTCTATCTATCCTTATTTTTTGGCTTATACAGCAGCTCGCCTATGGTGGACATTCGGCTCTATCTAAACGTTCTCGAGTCACTGCCTGGTTGAAAATTGTATGTTACCATCGAATACGAGTACTGAAGCAGTTTTTTCTGAAACCACGCGCACCATTCACACTGGCTGCCTTTAACGTTCGCACACTTATGCAGGTCGGACAACAGATAGGGCTGGCTATGTCTTTGGAAAGTCTTAATATCGACGTTTGTTGTCTATCCGAGACCCGTATTCAAGACTCTGGTGAAGTACTACAAATTCGCTCTCCATCTGTCGCTTCAAAAGCTTGTTTTGCGTGCGTTTATCCGGGGACACTGTGGCATCTTCGTCTGGTCTTGTTGGCGTTGGTGTCGCACTAGCGCTAGAGCTGAGGCAGCACTAATCGACTGGATCCCCATTAACAGTCGGTTATGTGCTGTTAGATTAGAAAGTTCCATTAAACTGAGAAGAAATCGGCGTGAGAAACGATGTCTTTTCGTCGTCTCCGCCTATGCCCCAACAGATTGCAGCCCGGATGCAATCAAGGATGAATTCTACCACCAGTTATCTGTTCGTCTCCAGAAAGTGCGTTCGACAGATATTGTAGTACTGCCGCTCCTTTTGGAGTACCTATCTGGAATCTGATCATGCCCTGGTCTGCGCCAATCTTACCTTACTTTTCAGTGGCCAACGAAGTGACCGCTACCAAAGGATTGACGATAGCAAGCTGGTCGCAACTTCTGTTGCAAGAAAGTATCAAACCGAGTTAGCTTCTAGGCTAGCTACCATTCCACCGAAAAGTATAGATGAGCCTTGGTTGCAACTGCATAACGCCATCAAAATGGCGAGTAAAGCCGCTTGAGGCTTCGCGAAACGTCCCGCTTATAAGCACTGGATTTCTTCTGGTTCCTTACAACTGATTGAAGCCCGTCGGTCTATTCCGGGTGACCTTGAGTTTGAGCACAAACGGAGGCTGTTACGTAATGAAATTAGGCAAAGCTTGAGTAAGGACCGAGAAGCCTGATGGTCGGAGCGTGCTAATGAGCTGGCAGCAAGAAGTCTGGTGTGAGCGAAACAATCTGCGAGCACGACGAGATGCCAATAACTAACATCCATCGACGTCTTGGACGATGGGCAGTTCAACTGGCCTGCTGCTCCGGCAACGTCAGTCAGACTGTCCTGCCCTCCATGGCCGGTGACGACCGATCCACCAAATGAGGCGGATGTCCGCAAGGAACTCCAACTCTTGAAACGTTACAAATCACCGGGCCCAGATGACTTACCTCCGGCTCTTTTCAAAGATGGTGGTGACTTTCTGACTAAGGGACTGACGACGTTGTTTACAAAGGTCTGGGAACTAGAGAGTGTACCAAACTCATGGAATGAGTCGATAGTCGTCCCTATCATTAAAAAGGGTTCACGTCGTTCCTGTAACAACTATCGGGGGATAAGTCTATTTCCGATTGCGTTCAAGCTATTGGCTTCCGTTATACTTCGTAGGTTGTTCAAAACCCGAGAAAGACTGACTCGCGAGGAGCAGGCTGGGTTTCGTTCTGGTCGAGGATGTATTGGTCATATCTTCACCCTCTGCCAAATGTTAGAACTCCGTCATACTTATCAAAGGCCAACAATCGTAGTGTTTCTTGACATCAGGGCCGCTTTCGGTTCGTTGGACAAGACTGTTCTCTGGGATTGTCTATTGAAGAAGGGTGTGCCTGAGAAGTTTATTAACATCCTAAAAGCCCTATATACAAACACCTCAGGTAGAGTGAGGGCATACAACCACCTTTCTCCATTATTCCATTCAAGCAGTGGGGTTAGACAGGGTTGCCCAATCTCACCATTCCTCTTCAACTTTGTCATCGATGACATTCTGGAAACAGCTCTGATGGATGTAAGTAATGGTGGTGTGGATCTGTTGCCTGGAGAAAGACTTCTCGACCTTGAGTATGCGGATGATATTGTCTTACTGTGCGAGAATGCCCAAGCCATGCAATCCGCACTTAATCAGTTGGCAATCAATGTCCGTAGGTATGGTATGTGCTTTGCACCTTCGAAGTGCAAAGTTCTTCTACAAGACTGGCAGGATTCTAATCCTGTACTCACCCTGGATGGTGAGCATATAGAAGTAGTCGAGAAGTTCGTGTATCTGGGTAGCTGCATAAGTGCTGGAATTGAATAATGAGAAAACCAAAAGTAGGTTCCAGGAACAACTGAGGTCACACTTAGTTAGTTCTGAAAACAAGGCTGACCCAGATGTTGCTTGGAAAGTTATACAAGCAGCTGTGGAAATAGCAGTGACATCTACTAGTGATTTAAGCCACAGGGTTACAAAGAACCAATGGATTTCTTCAAGGTCTATTGCACTGATAGATTCTCGCAAACCCATCCCATCAGGTTCTGATTACGATGAAGAGCGTAAAGAAATCAGATCTAGGTTAAGCAAAAGTCTAAGGAATGATCGTGAGCAGTGGTGGGCAACGAAAGCAAAAGAGATGGAAAAGGCGGCGGCTATAGGGAACACAAGACAACTCTACAGAGTAATAAAAGAAACTGGAACTAATAAGTCAAGTGTAAGTCAGACCATTTCGGAAAAAGACGACACTCTCATCTGCTCCCAGTCCAGACGTTTAGAACGATGGGCGGAACATTTTAAGGAGCAGTTCAGTTGGCCTTCAGCTACTCTACAACTACCCTCTATTCCCAGACAGTGTGAATGGAACATTGAAGTAGGTCCCCCAACTCTAGCTGAAGTTCAAAAGGCTATAGCTAATCTGAAACGAGGAAGGGCAGCTGGTCCAGATGGATTGGCCCCAGAGGTCTTTAAGGATGGTGGTCTAGTCTTAGCGATTAGGTTGACTAATATTTTAGCTAAAATCTGGGAGTTAGACGTTATCTCATCTAACTGGTCACAATCACTTATCGACCCGATATTTAAGGAAGGGTCAAAATCATCCTGTGACAGCCACAGAGGGATTAGTTTAACTAATATAGTATCTAAAATACTAGCTTCGATAATTTTCGGACGCCTAACTAAGACTCGTGAGCTGCAAACACGAGAAAATCAGGCTGGCTTCAGACCTGGTCGTGGCTGCATCGACCACATATTCACCATTCGTCAGGTTCTAGAACACAGACATACTTATCGGCGTCCGACAATGGTGGTATTCCTTGACTTAGAAGCAGCGTTTGACTCTGTTGACCGAGAGGTTCTTTGGCAGTGTCTGTCATTGAAACACGTACCTCAGAAGTACATAAACCTTGTGAAGGCTCTTTACTCGAACACTACTACTCGAGTCAGAGCTTTTGGCGAACTGTCATCTGCTTGTGCAACCTCAAGTGGGGTCCGTCAAGGCTGTCGACTTTCTCCATTTTTGTTCAACTTCATCATAGATCTACTGATGGAAATAACGCTCTCATCGACTGAATTCTCGGGCATTGATCCCCTACCAGGAGGTCCACTTATTGACTTAGAATACGCAGATGACATAGTCCTGTTTGGTAAAGACGCTGATGAAATGCAGTCTTTTGGTAGCACTGAGCAACAATGCTAGAATGTTTGGGATGCGCTTCTCTCCCTCCAAATGCAAGTTGTTGCTTCAGGACTGGTCTGCGTCAACACCTGAACTAAGGATAGGGAGTGAAGTAATCGAACGCGTTGACAACTTCACTTATCTTGGAAGTCTGATCAGCCCTAATGGGTTGGTGTCTGACGAAATCTCAGCACGGATTCGAAAAGCTCATTTGGCCTTTGCCAACTTACGTCATCTATGGCGAAGGCGAGATATCCGTCTATCAATTAAGGGACGAATATACTGCGCGACAGTTCGTTCCATTCTACTATACGGCTGCGAAACATGGCCTTTAAGAGTAGAAGATATTCGTAAGTTACTAGTATTTGACCACAGGTGCCTTAGAAACATTGCGGGTATCTGCTGGGATCACCGGGTAAGTAATAGTGAGGTTAGACGCATGGTATTAGGGAATGATCGTAAATCAGTTGATGAGGTTATGAATCTTCATCGACTGAGATGGTTGGGCCACGTGCTGCGTATGCCTGAACACCGATTACCACAACGCGCAATGCTAACCAGTGTTAGGGATGATTGGAAGAAAGTTAGGGGCGGCCAAAGCAAAACGTGGCATCAGTGCTTGAAGTCACTAACTTCTGGTCTGAGCCATGTTGGTAGATTCAGACTGCCTGTACTATATCCTTATATGCAATCTTTCTTCTATATATTACCTCCACTGATTTAACTACTTCTATGAATCCGGTGTTCATCTTGTTGTGCTAATGAGGTATGGCAACTTGGACCGATGCATATACGTGCCTGGTCCTACGTTGCAACTGACTGGCTGACCGACGATTGGTTCATATGCCATTTGTCCCTTCAGGATACTGGAGCCCATGTGCATCATTGGTTTGGGATTCGGTTAAAGTGCCGGACATTCGCTTTTCGTCCTCTCATTTTCGTAAACAACACCTCCGCCACGAGAAGGCAGTGAGTAGGACTTCCCCGGCAGAGGCTGTATACGCGTGGCCGTGTGAGAGTATTTCAAGAGGGAGGGTGGGCATTGATCTGTCTAGGTAAGATACTGAACAAAGAAGATATTTTCAGTCAACTAAACTGCGCGAAACTTGAGAAACTCATTGAATATTCCTGATTACACCAGATTATAAACATTAAACGTTACAAAAGTATGACGAATAAAAAAGGACTTAGCTTATGTTATAATGAGGGAGTAGTGTTTATTTTCTGAATTGATATAACATATAAGCAAGTGAGAACCTGTTTAAACCATAATAAGAAAGTAATAAACAAAGGGAATAAATATTAAAAGAGAGAACAAGTAAGAAGCAAGTCAATTTTCAAACAAAATCGAATCCCGCTATAAGAACAAGAAGGATGGGGGCGATGTTAGGAAGTCGCTTAGCCAACTATGATGATAAAGACATGAAAAAAACGGGAGAAAAATAAAGTCAATACGTCTTTCAAACAAATAATAATGCCTCAAAGTTCACAAGTAGTGGTACTTACTTCACGAAACTTGACTAGAAACGCTCTAAGTGGTTCAATGTAATTATCAAAGCCAAGTGTATTCATAGCACATAGAATGTCTTCACCGTTAATAGTTTTACGCTTTTCAGTTTGACACTTGTCAGCAGCTCTGTTTTCATATAAAAATAATATAAGGAAACTAACTCGCTAGTGATGAAACTGATAAACTCTGATACACATTCTTGCACACATTCTTTAGCATCTTTAGCAATCTGAAAAACACAAGACGGATTTACTGACACTATTTAATGGAATACTTTTCCATTTCCAGGTACTGCTCTTTTCATTATTTTAGCAACATTAGCTATTGGCAGAAAACGGTCCTTTCAAAATATTAAATTTTAGCGTTACAACTAACTTGCTCACGAAGTGGTGATCTTTGTTCGATATCACCCGCTTGATATTCTGCATCATGATCTTGCAAAGAACCATCCAAGCCCTCATAATACGAAGGTTCTTGATAACTAGACTCTTCACCTTGACTGTCTGTGCTGTGCTCCATAATACTGAAACGGTTAAATGAGAGATAGTAAGTTTGACGAACTCGGTTAAGAAAATATAAGTCGGTAGTGTCTTTGCTAAAAACTAACAACTACATCCCAAGCACGGAAGTGAATCTGTTCATGTAGCTGTAATTTTGCTTGGGCAAGTTATGAACAATTCATTACCAATTACCTGTACATTGCTAGCTGAAGTGAAAATAGTGCAAAAAAGAAAAGTCATGTTGAAAATTTTCTAAATAATAAGGTCAGTGACTGTAAATGCTACCTTAGCGTGTTGTTTTCCTGTCATGATGATCTAATTGAGTTAAACTAACTGGAACATTCGTTTCCTCACGTTCGAAAATGCCAAGCTGTTTGTTTGGAGAGCGGCAGGTCAGATGGCGAAGTAGTACTAGTACTAGAGTGTGACAACAGTAATGTGTTTTCCCTCAGACAATCGGGATTTTTACTGACCCTGCCTTTACAAAACGAACGAAGGATCAGGTAAGATTGATCTTAAAAGTACCAAGCCTTACTGCGAGAAACAGATTTCCACTGAGGCGGTAGGGTTTTGAAGATATCAAGATAACACAACGGAGGCTGTTTAGCGAAACTGTGATCGGCCTCAAGAAGCCGTTTCGTGGGCCCTACGGTCACGCTTAGCGGCCATTACAAACCATAAACCAGTTTACCTGGCGGGTCCATAACGAAGAATGGTGTGGGGAATCGACAAGTGACGACCGCACCCATACCTCTAATAGAACAATCTAGTTTTGTTCATAACTGAATTTTCCATTTACTTCCTTTGATTTTGCTATAGATTGTACGTACCACCAATGGTAACGGTCCGAGTTTACGAAATCATGTATCACATTTCACCAAACTGCTGTAGATTCCAACGTTCGAACTCTGCCCAATCCTAGCATATCCACCTACGATGACGTTTGGCTAGTACCGAGAGCCAACATGAATTACTCTTTGTGTTTATGGAAATCCGTTGCAAACCGACAAAAACCATTACTTACCACTAAATAATATGACACCGTACGCATTTCAATAACGCCCATATTAGAGAATATTTAGTAAATCAAATTAAGTTGCACAGACAACTGACAACCTATTGTGGCTAGTGATTCGAATGTTGTGTAAAAGTGTATCAAGAATTTGGTTACTTCATCTAAGAGGAAAAAATAAGAACTATAAAACTTCGTCAGTTTCAAAGGTATAAATAGAAAGCCAGATGAAACATGTCAATCTATGCAACCTATAATACTGTGAAGACAAAGTCTGGCTTCAGACGCTAAAACCGGAGTTGCTGATGTGTTGTGGAAGATAACTTCAGCAATTTTCGACGCTGAAAACGTAGACAATTTGACTAAGATTCCAGAAATCTCTGAGACTAGACTGTCAGATTGTTTGAGGTGAAAATGATAAATTACAGTGACACGAAGAAGTACGGTTAATAAGATTAAACATCTGGAAGTATTGTAATGACAGACTGTTTACATACTATATATGTTTGATGGGAATGGTCTACGTACGAAGAAACTATTTAATTGATAAAAATTTCATGAGTTCTAGGAAAGTGTCTATTTATTTATACTTCTAACTCTGTGAACGAAACAATATCCCGAAAATGAGTCAAGCTTACAATGAAAAGAAGTCCTGAAGCGATCGGTTCAGGAGAGCTTTTAATATTTACTGTTTTGTACGCTTAACTAATTCAGGCTCTTTGAGTTGAAGATACCAAGTAATTTGAGTGGACTGTATTTCCAGTGAATTCGAACTATCACTAATGGGATCGAAAAAAACTTCCGCATAACGAGCATTCGTTTCTAGAGCCAACTGAGTGAAGCAGTTTCCAAGTAGCTAACCGTCCAAAGCAACATGTATTCAACAAAGTAGCATTTAGCACTATCGTGTCAACACCAATATACAGAACTATAATGTAGTGATATATTACGAAACCAATCAAAAGTGTGAAGACCACTAAACGACAAAGGAACTTGCACCTGAAGGTCAAAGCTTGTTTCTTAATAAATACACACAATTTTAATTGATAAGTACAAACAATTTCATTGCTTTGTATAAAAAAATCGATCTCAGAAACTGCTTTAACTAATTCAATTAGGATTTAAAGTCTCGTCAATCCTTTTATTTTGGGGAAATTTTGGGTAAACAATGGGGTTGTAGCGGTAAATAAATCCCCAAAATAAATAGCACTGTAAGTCTTCGATATTGGATGCCGACCACATTAGTTTTAGTGGACTCACATAGCTGAAGGCACTCATTCATTCATCCGTACCAGATCACGAGTGGGGCCGTCGTGCTCATTATCCTCTTCAATTGCTAGCCAGTCTAGATCAGTCGATACTCTATATATTGGTAACCTATCAAATATATCTGCGAAGCGTTGTCAAACACCTGTGGCATCTTCAGGGTTTTCCCCAAAGTTCAATGGTCTTTTCCGAAGTTTTGGGGATTTCCACAAATCTAGGGAAATTTTGGTTGAATGGCACAAAAGCGGATAAAATTTTCTCCCAAATAGGAAGCTTGGTTCATCATACGTTGCTGGGTGAAAAACAGATATAAGAGTGAAGAGATGATCATCCTCGTCTCCTATCATCGTCTGTCTTGCTATATGCTGACGATATAAAGATATGGAGAAATAAAAGCGATAGCTTAGAACTTCACAATGACCTGGAGTAATTATCTGAATGGTGTCAAACTTGGTAATTGTCGATATCTATTTCCAAGTGTATTGTGATACATGTTGGTCATCATAATACAGACACATACATTATGAATAACACTGAGCTACCTGTTGTCCAGACACAATAACTAAGGAGTCATCGTTAGTCAAGACTTGAAATCTACTGGACACTGCCGTGCAATAGCCGCCAAAGGTTTTGGAACTTTATGGTCCATACGTAGAGTCTCAAGTCACGTCGACGCTAAAAATTTATATACAGTATTCAGGCGTCCTAAACTTGACTACTTCATACGAGTAGCTGACCTCTACTTAATAAATGGCAGTGAGCCTTTGAGAAAGGTTCAGGGAAGAGTAATTAAGCTGATTCACGGAACAGCGAAGCTTCCATATGATGCTAGATCGGCTAAACTAAACATATTCATGTCGTCATGTCGAATAATTAGGCGTGATATGATTACAGTTTTAAAGTTACTCAGTGATAAATTTGCGCCTGATATTCCCTCATTTTACTTGTCTTCCAAAACCGACAATTCACGAGGACACTCCAAAAAAGTTCACAAGCCCAGAACAAATTATTTGTCGGCAGACTATCTACTTTTCCATTAAATCATCAACGAGTGGAATTCATTACCTTGAAGTGACTTATTTCTATCAAGAGAAGGTGATTGGTTTAATGTAAACAATTATTATTATAGCCAATTGTACCAGTGATTGTTTTACTGTGCTCGTTTGTTTAACTGTGCTAATGACAGCCATAATGCTCTCCCATTGGCTTCCATTGCATTCTACGCTGTTTGTGACTGTACGCACGTACTCCTTCTTGTCGATTCTCATTGTACCCATTTTGGCAAGATCTTGGTATTCTTTCGTTACCACGAGATCGCCAACGAATAAACTTGGTTACAATCTATTCTCTTCTTCTTATTTGTTTGGTACGCGCTCAACTTGTAGTGGTGTTCATAATCAATTGCGACTCGAATCCACGCTACAATTGGTGAGCCGAATTCTGGGATACGCCTCAACCTCTGGTCAAATCGTCCGAAGAAGTCAATTCGGTGAGTCTCTTGTTTATTTGTCCATGTCTGTGGTATATTTTCACATTAATTTTTAATACATAATATACTCGACATGACGGATAGTGACTCAGACGTACAGGCCATCTATTTTCCAGCTGTACCACTTATCCCCCATGACCCAGAAGTTTGATTTGCTGCATTAGAGTCTCGATTCGAGACTAGCCTCATTTTGAGCCGAAAGCAAAAGTACGCTTTCGCTCTTGAATCACTACCCGGGGATGTCCTTAATTCAAATGCCCCTAACGCCTACGGTCGCCTCTTTGAGGAGATTCTTCGAAATTTCCTCTCATCGAGGGAGGAACGACTAAGGACATTGTTAGCACGTCACCCTCTAGGTGATGCTAAACCAAGTCATCACGACACTCGCCTGAAAACTCTCGCAGGACGTACAGCTGCCGACTCAGAAATAGTTAAAGAACTATGGCTCGAGTCGTTACCAGCACATATCCAACCACCCATCACGGCCCTTCTCGAGGACGCACCACTAAACCAGGTGGCCCTCATAGCTGACAAAATATTGGCAAGGACTGGCAACGGAGATAACTACATAGTTGCTTCAACGTCACGTTCGAACGTGGATATCGACTCTAGTCACTTCCCGGCTCAAGGTGATAGGGACGGCCATATTCAAACACGTCTTAACTTCCGAGACCGTTGTGATATACCCGAACCCTACATTCCTCGAGCCAGATCACGCTCTCGAAAAGCCGTCACCACTCGCCCAACCAGGGCATCTTCCAAGCCACACCGAAAGGTGGCTTCGGAAACGAGTGAAAGTTGGTGCTGGTTCCACCGGTCCTTCGGGTCTGGCGCCTGCTATTGTCGAGCCCTGTGCTCATACAAGGCGGGAAACTCCAAAGCCGGCGAGTAAAAGCGGCCTTACTCGTACAACTTGGTAGTAGCAAGTCACAAGCTACAATGCTTCGACTACGTGCCGCGAATAGCTCAGCCATTCCTACCTACGGTACACGACAACTCGCGGTCAACCTGGGCAACCGACGACAGTACCTGTGGACATTCATCATTGCCGATGTTCCCACAGCCATACTGGGTATTGATTTCCTACAGCACTATGAATCTCTAGTCGATTCACGTAGGCTGCAGCTAATCGATACTTCGTCAAACGGCAAATTCATGGGCTTCAAAGCTCACACAAACGCGTAACGAATCCTAGGCACCTTTTATTTACGTGACGATAAATTCCACGCTTTATTTGAGAAATTCCTCAGATTAACTAAACCACTCGAGGAGATTTCATCGGCGACCAATCGTGTGGTACACCACATAGTCACCCGCGGATCCCCAGTCACGACAAGACCACGCAGGCTGGTACCGGACAAATTAGCTTTCGCTAAACGTGAGTTTGACAGTTTGCTAGCTACTGGTATTATTCGTCCTTCTCATAGTCCCCGGGCCTCTCCGCTTCACATGGTGTGCAAAATGGATGAGTTTAATTGGAGACCATGAAGCGACTATCGAGCATTAAACGTAGTTACACGCCTTGATAGCTACCCCATCCCCCACATACGCGACATCACGGCATTGCTCAAGGGCACGACTATCTTTTCTAAGATCGATCTGGTACGAGCATATCACCAGAATAACTCCGGTAGTTGTCAATTGCTCGAATTTTTCTCACGCCTCCTTACTCCCACGGAGACGAGATATAGAGATTTTGGCCGCGAGCTGCTAGCGGCCTACTGTGCCATCAAACATTTCCGGCACGCAGTAAAAGGTCATAATTTCATCTCATTCGCCGACCACAAGCCCTTAACGTATGCCCTCCATACCAAGTCTGATCGCTACTCACCACGAGTGCAGACATTTTATCTATATCTCCCAGTTTACGACAGACCTTCGTCACATTTTTCTTCCTAAGTGTCATGTCCTTTTTTTTTATTGCAAGTAGACAGATAACTCAGTAATCTTTTGGATGCTGATCTACTAAGGCCGATCATACGAAGCTCAAAATTGATCATAAAGTCTTGTGAGTTGCTCTGTGTTTTATTTTTCTTACCCTAAAAATTCTACAATTTTATACTCTTTCATATCATCTGATTTGCTACTAGTCCTACTATCTTTAAACCACATATAATCTAACCTGTTTTTTTTATCTTTCACCATTAGTTATCTTCATAGCAGTGTGATATACTAAATGGACATCTAACCCATAATACGAACGCTTTAACTATCAGATTTACTTGTAACATGGAACTAGTAGAGACAGTGTATTCCAACCATGTGCTTTAATTAAAGCAGTATGCATACTTACCACAAACGTAAGAGAGCCTAACATCACAAAAGGAGGGAGGGTGGCGTTACTGACCAGCAAACATGATGGCGGGGAGATAACTTCAATCCACCCATGTCTGTAGGGCAGAACATTTTGTTAAATTACGGCTCCTTATGGTCTAGTGGAATGTCACGAACTAGTGGTATTGATGATGATTTATCATGCAAAATACCTCATTATATCGTGTTTAGAATGTTAAATTGGTTTAACTTCCTACCCAGTAATCCTATTACAAGCAAACTAGACAATCCGATAAAATAAAAACAAAAAAACGAAGCCTACTCAAGACCCTATAAAATCTAAAAGAGGCTCCAATAGCGTCGACAAAAAAGGGAGACAGCCATTTGTGTATCGTAACACTGCTTTTAGCACTATATTTTATAATTACATATTCTCATACTCTCAGTTTCTTTCTGAACCACCTCCATTTGTCAGTTGATTATCCACTCATACCTTGTCTACAGTTATTTCCTTTAACCTATTAGGATGCTCCTGCTTACTAAATACTTTAATGAAAGAGAATCAGACTGAGTAGTCATACCTTAACCATTTCTTCATGAACATTGTCTTCTCTGCTTCTCGTCCTTTTTTTTGTTTTCTTGCACCGTTTTTCAGCCCCCTTGAGGTACGGAACGGGTGACCCCGTCCTGCACCATCCTTAAAGACTCAAATATTCCAAAGGGATATAAGATTGCGATTGCTAGAAGCCCTCAACTGCACATGAATCTAATATCGACCTTCAGTTGCACGTCGCAACGCAACTGTCATGAAGCGCGCTAACTGTGATACTGACAAAAACCATTCTACATTCATATCTTATAAATTATAGACCCAGCTGAGTAATTTACTACAGTTGGAAATTGTATCATTTGTAACAATTTGATCTTGCCTGTAAACTGGCATGCCTCATGTAACAAAACGTTATTTGAGAATAAATTATTATTATTATTAAAGGCGAGT